AAAAAAAAAAAAAAAAAAAAAAAAAAAAAAGGAAAAGGAAGAAGGTAGTATCAAAATCAAAGCTATTCATTTGAATACTCAACAATTGGATATTGTACTTTCTGATAGCTTTTCACAAAAAAAAATTTTTTTTTTGCAGGAAAACCATGGAAAAAGGAATTTTGAAACCAGGTTTGGTATGCATCACAGCAACAGCAACAAAGTCAGCCATCAGTTTTTGTAACCAACAGCCTTAAAAATAGTCAATAATTACAGCATGATACCAATTAATATTCGTTCTTTTAGCTAAAAAATCACCGTTATCAGATTTATCGGTAAGCAGCACTGATGTAACATTACACGCAGATTTAAAAAGAATATTGCTGAACAAAAGAAGTATAAAAATTCTAAACTCATATGACAGTACGTCTTCAGATCCTTAAAGATTTTCTTTTTTCTTTATGGAATCAAAAAAATTCTAAGAGGAGTGAAAGAGGATTTGGTTTGGAGAAAACAGAGGGTTGAGGAAGAACAAGAATGTATTTTTCTTGAAAGACTAAATTTTTGTTTTTTATTTTGTAACTGCTTTGTATTGATTTGTCTTTTGCTCTCAATCAACCTGAGCACGTAATTTGAATTCGATAAAAAGAGGTCATAAATTCCTTTAATTGCTTTCTGTTTTTACTCATCCAGAAACTTTCAAATTGGTGAGAAGACGTAAAAAACTGCGATTAATTCAAAAGACGTCTTTAGTTTCCACATTTAATAGACAGATAAGTAATCACAGAAAAAAAAAAAAAAACCAAATTTGGTTTTAACTAAAGCAAAACTTCAGTTAACAATTTCGAACTAATTAATTAACTTGAACAACAAATTATATAACTGAATGAACAGAAATTGCAGCTTGCTAACTTGAATTCAAGTAGCTCGTACTTAGACTACATAAACTAAAAGAAAACAATAATGCCATTTCAGTGAATCAAAAAATAATTGAAAGGTTTGTTAGGAACGAAAACCGCTACTGTTGCAGTAACAACAGTTACCAAGGCGGCATCAGCAGCAACAGCAATAGCAGTAGCAACAGTAACGGCAACGGGTCGTTCCGAACATACCAATACAGGAGCACTACTGTTTTCTCCACCTCTTTTTTCCATCACCAACTGTTCGGTAGGAAACGACGAACTTAACAGTGATCAAAATAAGCACTTCAGACATAAAAAAAAATTTGCTCAGTT